GAGGGAGAGAGGGAGGGAAGGAAGGGAGAGTGGGAAGGAAGGAAGGAGGGAGAGTGGGAAGGAATGGAAGGAGGGAGGGAGGAAGGAGGGAGAGAGGGAGGGAAGGAAGGGAGAGTGGGAAGGAAGGAGGGAGAGAGGGAAGGAATGGAGGGAGGGAGGAGGGGGGGAGGGAGGGAAGGAAGGGGGAGTAGGAAGGAAGGAAGGAAGGAGGGAGGGAGGGAGGGAGGAGATTATGAGACTGGAGGGAGGGTCTCAGGAAAGTCCTGCCTTAGCATTTGGCCACCACAGGTGCCTCCGACACAAGTGACGTCCAGCTAGCCACGCCCACCCTGGCCACAACCGAAGTCCAACACAACCCTGATGTGGCCCTCAATGAAACTGAGCTTGACACCCTGCTCTAGAAAGATCCAAGCTGGCCTTGGCAACCCTCTCAATTTAAAGGCGCAATGCCCAGCTTGAGACGGAACTTACCGTAAGTCTCCGTCGTGATTCGGCGCTGAGCGTAAGTGGCCAGCCCTTCGCTCAACCACATCTCTTCCCAGGTGGCATTGGTGACGGCGTTGCCAAACCAGCTGTGGGCTACCTCGTGGATGATGTCGATGATGAGGAACTCATCGCTCTCCAAGATGGAGGAGATGACGAAGGTCAAACATGGGTTCTCCATGGCAACGATGGGGAATGAGGGAGGGAGGAAAACGATGTCGTACCTGGAAGCAAGAGAAGGAAATCAACTCTGATCAACCTGCAAATCTTGAAGCCATCATTCTCAAAGCAGGTAGACAGACAGACAGGCGAAAAAAAGATATGCATAAATAAAATTCCCTCACAAATTGCCTCACTTGTTAAATGAATCACTGCAGTTGTTAAATTAGTAAGGCGGCCGTTAAGTGAATCCGGCTTCCCCAATTGACTTTGCTTGTCAGAAGGTCGCAAAGGGTGATCACATGACCCCAGCAGGACTCTGTAACCGTCATAAATATGAGTCAGTGGCCAAGCATCTGAATTTTGACCACGTGACAATGGGGATGTTACAACAGTCAAAACTGTGAAAAACGGCCGTAAGTCCCTTTTTTTTCAATGCCATTGTACATTTGAACGGTCACAATGCGAATAGTTAAAAGTTGAGGACTACTCACATTAATTAAAAATTGTTATAAGAGAAAAAAGGGTTGGGGGTTAATGTAACTGGAGAGCAACAGCTGCCTATCAAGAATCTCTTGTGATCCAAGGTATATCCTGTCTCTCCTCTATACCCTGTTAGTAATCCTAACCCAGTAAATTAAGATGAAAGGAAGAAACTGGTTTTATTTATTTATTTATTTATTGAATTTATATTGCTGCCTATTTGCCCATGGTGACTCGAGGTGGCTTACACAATGTAAAATAAACATTTAAAACAAAAAACAAAAAACAATAAAAACTAACAAAAAGAATCAAATAAATTAATAAAGTACAATAGAACAAAATCTGGAAAATAAATATTTTTTTTTAAAAAAAAAATCACCCCCAACTCCCACCCCCCGTCCCAACAACAGCAAATCACACGAGCCATTTGATGGGCTCCATCCTGCTCTGGGTTCCCCATGGCCACAGAACCAGGTCTTCAGCGCCTTCCGGAAGAGTGTTAGAGTGGCGGCCATTTTAATTTCTGAGGGAATGAGGTTCCAGAGAGAGGGAGCCACCACAGAGAAGGCCCTTCTTCCAGGCCCCACCAGGTGTGTCTCCCTCAGGGACAGGACCCGCAACATTCCCTGCTCTGATGGGTTGGGTATATGTGACTGGCAAGAGACGTTCCCTCAGATAACCTGGTCCCATTTTGCAGCTAAATGTGAAATATCATTGTCCCAAAGGTGCTTTTTCCAGAGGCAACTGGACTTTCTGGTTTTTCTTTGAAGATGTTTCGCTTCGCATCCAAGAAGCTTCTTCAGCTCTGAATAGATGGGGGGGAATGGAAAGATTTACACTCTGTGCAGACAGCTGGTCCATTTGCATCTTTTTTAGAAGGTCATTGAGGCCACTTGGAGGTTTGTCTGTGTCCTCAGGGTCGCCTGAGTGGTGCAAATTGATGTGGAGCCTTCTTGGAATTGCTGAAAGGATTGTGTTGTAGATTGATGCCAGTGAGGCTCCACACCCATTTGCACTATTCAGGTGACTCTCGGGACACAGGCAAACCTCCATGTGGCCTCAATGACTCTGTGAAAGGATACAAATGACCAGCTGTCTGCAAGGAGTATAAATCCTTCCATTCCTCACCATCCAATTAAAGCTGAAGAAGCTTCTTGGATGAGAAGCAAACCGTCTTCAAAGAAAAAACAAGGAGCAAGGGGCTTTTAATTTCATGGCTGCTGTCACCGTTGGCAGTGATCTTGGAGCCCAAGAAAATAACACCTGTCACTGCTTCCATTTCTTCCCCTTCTATTTGCCAGGAAGTCATGGGGCCAGATGCCATGAACTTAGTGGGATTCTTTTTAAGTATTATGCACGCTCTACTACATACAGAAAACATTTCTGCAAAAAAAAAAAACTTGTTATCTATATATATCAAAGTGAAACGCCACTCATAAATCACCACAAAATCTCCAGAACTGTAAAGCCTTCAAACTTGAAATTTGGCAACTATGTTCCTCTTGGCTTTTAGGGGCTCACTAAGAAAGGATTTTTTGAAATGACAATCAGAGCGTTAGTATTTCATATATTATTATGAACACGCTCTGATGCTAAGGAGTTCTACTCCCCCCTCCCCACCTGAAAAGAAATCTGTTCCAAATGTAAAACACAAGCAGAGAGCAGTTTTACTTTCACAGCACCAAGCAGCTTTAGTACAGAACAGTTGAGCTAAGCCACGCCCAGGCTCCTTGCTGTCTCCCTTCTTGCTCACACAGCAAATACTGTTTCAGTTTCCAAACAGCCCTCCACTCTCTCACACACTGACAGAACACTAGCCAGATGAATACCGATGGATGCTGGTAGGCAGAGGCAGAATTCCCCCCTCCCCTTTTTTTCCTCCCAAAAAAGTAAGCCCAACCACATAGTTTCGTAGCGCAGCACGGGTATAGAGCTAGTTATCTATATTCTTAGGCATGCATGAATACTCTGTGTATAAGTATAAAAAGGAACCATTCTTGTCTTCAGCCTCCATTTCTCACCACGATGATACCAAGAGAGCAAAACGTGTAATGTCACATCACAAGATAAGCTCTGCCTTTTTCAGCCTGAGTTGCGAGTTGCACGTGAATGAAGAAGGAACAGAATTGGCAGCCCAACATGCATTTCGTTCCTTTCGTCCCAGCGGAGACCTATGCATGCTATAATGAGCTTACCTGCCCCATATGTAGGGCCCGTAGAGGGTCTCTGCAGCGCTGAGCCAATGCTCCACCCGACCTGAGAGTTTGCCGATGGCTGTGGACAAAAGGCATGGCTCGGCCCAGACTTTGCTCCTGTTTGCAAAGAAGGCAGAAAAAACAACAGATAACAGATAATCAGAGTTGGAAAGGACCTTATAGGTCATCTAGTCCAACCCCCCGGCCAAGCGGGAGACCCTACACCAATTCTGACCAATGGCAGTCCAGTCTCTTCTTGAAAGTCTCAAGTGATGACGCTCCCACAACTTCCGAGGGCAACTTCTGTTCCATGGGTTGATTGTTCTGTCAGTAAGTTTCTCCTTGTTGAATCTCCCCTTGTTCAGTTTCCATCCATTGTTCCTTGTCTGGCCTTCAGGTGCTTTAGAAAATAGCTTGACCCCCTCTTCCTCTCTGTGGCAGCCCCTCAACTATTGGAAGACTGCTATCTTGTCTCCCCTGGTCCTTCTCTTCCCTAGCCTAGCCAGGCCCAGTTCCTGCAACCGTTTGTCGCATGTTTTAGCCTCCAGTCCCCTCATCACCCTGGTTGCTCTTCTCTGCACTTTTTCTAGAGTCTCAACATCATTTTTAATAGTGTGGTGACCAAAACTGGATGCAGTACTCTAAGTGTGGTCTTACTAAGGCTTTATAGAGTGATATTAGTACCTCCCTTGATCTCGATTGTATCCCTCTGTTAATACAACTTAGGGTTGCATTAGCTTTTTTGGCTGCCTCTGCACACTGCTGGCTCATATTTAGCTGGTTGTCCACTAAGACTCCAAGATCCCTCTCACAGAATTCACACTGGGGCCTAGCACAAATTTGGCAGTCCTGCTATGGAGGTGCAAAGTAACACTTTAACTGCACACTTTAAAGAAGGTTCACGATTCCAATATAAGTAGTCCTCAACTTACAACAGTTCGCTTAGTGATTGTTCAAAGTTACAACGGCACTGAAAAAGAGTGACTTACGACCATTTTTCACACTTACGACCGTTGCAGAAACCCCACAGTCACGTGATTTAGTGATGCTGGACAACTGACTCACATTTATGACGGTTGCAATGACCCTTTTTACGACCTTCTGACAAGCAAAATTATTGGGGAAGCCAGATCCATTGAACAACAACTGTATTACTAGCTTAACAACTGCAGTGATTCACTGAACAAACGTGGCAAGAAAAGTTGTAAAATGGGGCCAAAACTCACTTAACAAATATCTCACTTACGAACATCAATTTTGGGTTCAATTGTGGTCGTTAAGTTGAGGACTACCTGTTGTCAACTCATAAAATATTTCTCTGGTCTTTTTAGAGTTGCCAACAGAAAGGTAGGGGGGATCAGTACGGCAGCTTGCAAACCGAAACTGCATTCTATAAATGTTTTCAAAGATAGTAACTAGGTCAGGGATCCCCAACCTTTTCGACGCCGCGGCCCGGTTCCGGCATCAGCTGGGCGCCGCGGCCCGGTACCAGCGTCAACTGGGCGCCGCCATCTTTTTTTGATGAAAAAGCGCTTCCGGTGAGCTTTCTACCCGGAAAAGCTCACCGGAAGCACTTTTTTACCAAAAAAAGATGGCGGCGCCCAGCAACCAGCGGCCCGGTAAGGCTTGTTCCGCGGCCCGGTACCGGTCCGCGGACCGGCGGTTGGGGACCCCTGAACTAGGTGACCGAAGTTTCTGACACGTAAAATTCTTACTAGAGAGCATGATTGATGACTCTGGGCTATGGAGGTGTCCCATTGGAGAATATGAATTACGATACACCCAGGGGGTTGGGGAAAACCAGGGTCAAGGATGACAAGGAATGATGTGTCTCAAGAGTCGGCTACATCCAGGCAGTGCCGGCATGTTAACTCCCAATAAATCCTTTTGAAGTTTTGGAAGTTTGGCTCAAGACTCAGGATTTAATTGGGGGAAACTGCCGGAATCCTGACAGCTGTAGTTTATAACTGCATTGTTTAGTGATGGCACTTCTGGTCTGAATTGCAGTCATAACTCAAGGACTCCCTGTATGGCTTGCCACAAATTGTTGAACTACATTTCCCAGACTCTTCAGCAAGCACAGTGGTTAAGATACAGCTTAGCAATATTCCTGCCTTCCATCAACCCTGCCTAAATCAGAGCAGGGTAACTTACCTAGGACCAACCTCCGCAGCAACAAGATCCCCGGCCACCAGAGCCACCAGGTAAGCAGGAATGGGGTACTCCATGTAGAACTGGTATATGCCATCTTCTTCCTCATAGGTACTTTGGGTGGCACTCATTAACACTTGCATACCTGCAGGGGCCTGTGAAAAAGTAAAACAGATTAATAAGAGTTGAAAGGGTTCTTGGAGGTCCTCTAGTTTAGAGGTCGTCAACCTTTTGGACCTCAGGGACCACCAAACTCATAATTTTAGATCCCAGGGACCACTAACCGGTTCTGTGGGTGTGGCCTAATTTGTGGGTGTGGCTTGGTGGTCATGTGACTGACTGGGCATGGCTTGTATGTAAATATTATAAATATTTATATAAATACTGAATTTTTTATTTTAAAAAAAGAGCAACTTTTACCCAAAAACAGGCAAAGCAGGCAGGCAGATTGAGTTCCTCACAGAATCACAGATTCATTCAGAGATCTATCCATCTGCCATTGGCTAGCTCAGTCTGTCACATAAAATTTGCTTGCAAGCAAACTCACAAAATTAACTCACAACACACCATGCATGTAAATATTGAATTTTTTATTTTAAAAAAATGCAACTTTTACCCAAAACCAGGCAAAGCAGGCAGATTGAGTTGCTCACAGAATCATTCAGTGATCTATCTATCTGCCATCGGTTAGCTCAGTCTCTCAAATTTGCTTGCCGTGAGTCTGCACTGGATTTGCTTGCAAGCAAACCGTCAGTCCTACGGGAGGTTCGGCTGTGCTGAGCTGAAGAACTAAAGACTAGCTAGAAAGCAAGAAATCCAACCATTTCCTCCTTCCTGGCTAATCTAAATCTCCCAGCACAGCAGAACAGCTGATGGTCGGAAAAAGGAAAAATAGCAACTTAGCAGACAAGTTTGCCCAGTAAGGAATGAGTGGGTGGGTAAGGTTCCCGTGGACCATGTGGGCGGTGCAGCCTTGTGTTTCTGCACAGCCTGGATTAATTGCTTTGTGGGGGTGCTCTGAGGGTGAGATTTTTCTGCGGCCCACCAAAATTTTCTCACGGCCCACCAGTGGGTCGCAGCCCACTGGTTGGTGACCACTGCTCTAGTTCACCCCATGGCTAAAGGACACTCTATACCAGTGATGGTGAACCTATGGCACACGTGCTGGAAGTGGCACACAGAAACATCTCTCCGGGCACGCCAGCCGTCACCTGTTGCTCTTCCGGTTTCTGGCACACACAGGTGTGCCTGCCAGCTGGTCTTCACGCATGCAGGAGCACCGGAAACTGGAATAGCAGCTCCCCGGTGCGCATGTGTGCTGGCCAGCTGGTCTTCACGCACGCATGCATGCCAGAAACTGGAAGACCTGGAAACCAGAAGCTCAGCTTCATGAGCGCTAGAGAGCTGCTCTTCTGGTTGCCATCCCCGCGCGCACACCAGTGTTGTGATTAGCCAGCAGCAGGTGCGGAAGGCTGAGGAGAGCGAGGAGTCAGATGAGGGGCCAGGACCGTTAGGGAGTGGACTGGTGCCTTCAGAGATTGTGGGGGCTGGCAGCAGCGAGGAGGAGGTTCCCGAGGAGCCTGTGCCAAGTGTGCGTGCGCGCAGGATTGCTGGTAGGAAAGAGCAACTACAACAGCACGGGCGACTCGGGAGTAAGGCTGCAAGGTAATGGCCCCTCCTTCAAGAAGATAAAAGCCAGCTGTGAAAGGAACGTACTTTGCAGAAGGCAAAGACGTTTTGAAACTCCAGCCTCGTGAACATTCCGGTATCCTGAGTTTAAATTTGAAGATTCTTGTATTGTACATTATTTCTTGTCTATTATCTTTTGGCAAGTCTCGCACAGTTTGGCAAGGCTTGTGCTTATCACAGCTAATTATTTTGCAGAAGCATTAAAAGGTTTCTGTTCCTTTTGGCTTGTGTTTGATTCGTTGGGAAGGGCGTGGGTCAGAACAGCCAGGAGCTGCTCTTCTGGTTTCCGGCGCTTCTACACTGGGAGCTGCTCTTCAGGTTTCTTGTGCTCCCATGTGCATGCGTGCGCGCTCCCGCTTCGCCACTCAGTACCGGAAAGGTTTGCCAACACTGCCCTATACCATTCCAGACAGTCATCCAGTCTCTTCTTAAAAACTTCCATTAATGAAGCACCCACAACTTCCGGAGGCAAGTTATTCCACTGGTTAATTGTTCTAACTGTCAGGAAATTTCTCCTTAGTTCTGAGTTGCTTCTCTCCTTGATTAGTTTCCATCCCTTGCTTCTTGTCCTGCCTTCAGTTGCTTTGGAGAATAGGTTGAAATCCTCCTCCCCCTCTTCTTTGTGGTAGCCCCTCAAATATTGGAACACCGCTATCATGCCACCCCTACTCTTGATCTAGGGACCAACTAAAGCAGAGGTGGGGAACTATGGGGAACCTTTATGACTTGTGAACTTCAACTCCCAGAATTCCTGAGCCGCCCATGTTGAATTTGAAGTCCGTAAGTCATAAAGGACCCACGATTCCCCATGCCTGAAGCGACGTGTGAGGAATATCCATCCTCTCTACTCCAAAAGCTTGAGCTGGACCGCATGTCCTAGCAACCTAGATTCTGTCCTGATGAAAGCTCGCTCCTCCATCAGTTGTGCTATGTTCACGACGCTCAAACCCCATGCGCAATGCTAAAACATACCCCACAGCCTCCCTGCGATCAGAGTCTTTCAATGGTGGCATTTGACAGTCTGAGGCAGTTTACTTGGAAGGAACAAGCTGGCCTATTCACAGAATGGCTGCCTCAGAGTGAGCGGTGGTTAATCACAAAACAGCCATTGATCTGAAAGCATGTGTGAGGATGCTCCCTAGCATGGCCTTTGGTAGCCCCTGCCATGTACCCAACGGCTGGTTGTTGTTGTTTTTTCCACAGCTTGCTTCGCTAAGTCACACGTAAAAGCCTTGGGAGGAAGCAGTGACCAATGAGGGAGATGATTCGGAAAGGAGATTAAGATTTTCATGGAGGCGGGGACGGGACCTGGCTACTGGTTGTAAGAGCTTCTGGAATCACAATCAGAATTCGAAATCTGAATTCTTGTTAAGAGTTTGCAGCATTAAATTCAAATCCAGAAAACACACAAATGATTCAGCAGGATCGTTCACTTCTTTATAAACATAATAATATGAGTAAAGTTTACAATACCATTAGTAGATTCTTTCAATGTAACGTAAGCAAAAACACAAGCAGCAGCAGCTCAGAGCAGATATCAGTTTTTGTAAGCAAGCAAGACTTTCAATTCTCAGCAAAGCACACGGAGCCAAACCACACCCAGGCTGTCAGCTCCTATCGGCTGGTCTCTTGCCATGCTTACTTTGTTAACCATGTCTCTGCCAGTTAATGAATATACTCTGACAATTCTGGCAGTTAGGCGAGCATGAGCTTCAGGTCTGATCAAGTTCTTCTGACATTCTGGGGGGAAGGAAATGCCTTACCTTGACAACTGCGGAGTAAGTGCATTTCACAGCCGGCGTGTCAAAGCAAGGGAAGAAGGAGCGGTTGCACACCGAATGGCCTTGGGTGAAAACAAATGGCTTGGAGTTGCCGTAGGTGAGCTCAGGATCCAGCCACCAGATCTGACAGAAGGAATAGAGAAGGGGGGGGAAAAACAACAACAACAAATAGACAAAATGGATAGTCTTCGACTTACGGTCACCATGAAGCCCCAAATTTCTGTTGCAAAGTGAGACAGTTGAGTTTTGCCCCATTTTTACCACATTTCTTGCCACAGTTTAGTGAATCATTGCAGCGACGTGGTTAATCAGACGGTTGTTAAGTGAACCTGGCTTCGCCGCTGACGTTGTGTGTCAGACGGTCGCAAAAGGGGATCACGTGACCACGGTACGCAACCATCATAAATAGGAGTCAGTTGCCCAGAGTCTGAATGTTGATCGCATGACTGCGGAAATTCTACAACGGTTCTTAAGTGTGAAAAACGATCATAAGCCACTTTTTTCATTTGCCGCTGTAACTTCGAACAGTCACTAAATGAACTATTGCAAGTCAAGGACTACCTGTACTACTGTTGTACTTGTATCTTCTAATACATGGGGGTCCAATTCAATTTCACTGAGGGCCACATCAGGGCTGTGGTGAACCTCGGGTGGGTGCGTGGCCAACTGGGTGGGCATTGCCAGCTTGATAACACTCACTGGGCATGGGCAACTGGGTGGGCGTGGCCAGCTTGATAGCACTCACTGGGCGTGGGCAACTGGGTGGGCGTGGCCAGCTTGACAGCACTCACTGGGCGTGGGCAACTGGGTGGGCGTGACCAGCTTGACAGCACTCACTGGGCGTGTCCGACTGGGTGGGCGTGGCCAGATTGACAGCACTCACTGGGCGTGTCCAACTGGGTGGGTGTGGCCAGCTTGACAGCACTCACTGGGGTGTGTCCAACTGGGTGGGTGTGGCCAGCTTGACAGCACTCACTGGGCATGTCTGACTGGGTGGGTGTGGCCAGCTTGACAGCACTCACTGGGTGTGGGCAACTGGGTGGGCATGGCCAGCTTGACAGCACTCACTGGGCGTGTCTGACTGGATGGGCGTGGCCAGCTTAACAGCACTCACTGGGGCATGGCCAACTGGGTGGGCATTGCCAGCTTGACGCCACTCCCCAAACTGCTGGCATGTTTCCTCGTCGCACTGGGTAGACCGGGCCAAAGCGATGCGGGCCGGCCCCTTACATTTCCCAGGATGGCCTCACGGGTCAGATCCAACCACATCCTGAGCCACATCCGGCCTACGAGCGTTGTGTTTTGTTTTGTTTTTAATATATTTTTACTGTTTACAACTATAAGTATCAAACAAAGTGCAACCATTTTGGCATTGCTCTGCCACACACACAAAAATATTACTAAACCATTAACATTCCTATTAGTGATACAGTATTTTCATTCTAGATCTATTCACCCTGGCTATTTTTGTTCTGACCTTTCCCTCTTTTTTGCAACTATTGATAAAACTTATTCCAAGTATCATCATATTCTGATTCCCCGCTTATTTTTCAGTTCTACAGTTAGTCTATTAGATTCTGCCCTGCTCCAATATCATCCCAGCCAGCAGTGCTATTTACTGAAGATGGGGTTTTAGGTCAAGGAGGGCTGGCTGGCTGGGAACAATGGGAATTTTAGTCCACCTGGGGACAGCAATTTGGGGAAGGCAACCATACACAAAATCTTCATTTCTGTTGAGATCACTGAAAGCAAGTTAGCTCTGGTTGATGAAAGTGTGGAACGGGTCTTCCAGGGTTACAGCCCACCTTTCCCACGGCTCATCCCACATACGTACAACAAAAGGCACCCTGACCCATTGGGCGACATCCTTTCACAGGAAGGGATACAGATAGTCCTCGACTTACAACGGTTCATTTAGGGACTGCTCAATGGCACCGAGAAAAGGTGACTTGTGACCATTTTTTTTCACTCTTATGACCGTTGCAGCATGCCCGTACTCACGTGATTTTACATTTGGATGCTTGGCAACTGACTCGTATTTATGACGGTCTCAGTGCTCTTGGGTCATGTGATTTCCCCTTTTGCGACCTTCTGACAAGCAAAGTCAATGGAGAAGGGTGATGACCCGAGGCGTGGCACAAAAGCAACAAAGTCACAAAAGTAGGTAAAGTCCCTTTAATTCCTCCAACTTGGCCCCCCAATGTCCAGTTATCGTGGGCTGGAGACCTTCTCCAAAACTAACCTCCAAACATATTCTTTGTATTGGAAAAGTATCAGTCCTGCCTGAAGTACATAATATAGACCAGTGGCTGGCTGGGGAATTCTGGGAATTGAAGTCCACCCATCTGAAAGCTGACAACATAGAGAAACACTTGAGATAGATGCATTACAAATAGAATTGCATGGAACAATATGCTGCTAACTTAAAACATGTCATCCCTGGCCAGCCTCTTTGATCTCCCAGACAGACAAAACAGAAAAGCTGGCCAAGGCTGGCGTATTTTAAAATGGTGGCATGTCGTTCGATGAAATTCTATTTTTAATGCACCTATATAAACTACTTCAGGCAGGATGGATAAAATGCCATCACCTAATAGAGGAGGACATGACAGTGAGTGCCAAATAACAGTCCATCCCAAATGGAAAGTGTCCATCTCACAGCCATCCATTCCTCTGGGTAAAAGTGTCCGAATCTGAGCACTTATTTATTAAATTACTAGCTCAATACCCATGCTTCGCTATGAAACTATGTGGTCGGGCTTAGTTTTTGGGGAGGAAAATAAGGGGGGGGATTCTACCTCTGCCTACCAGCACCATTCATCTGGCTAGCATCTTGTCAGTGTGTGAGAGAGTTAAGGGCTGTTTGGAAACTGAAACAGTATTTGCTGTGTGAGCAAGAAGGGAGACAGCAAGGAGCCTGGACGTGGCTTAGCTCAACTGTTCTGTACTAAAGCTGCTTGGTGCTATGAAAGTAAAACTGCCCTCTGCTTGTGTTTTACATTTGGAACAGATTTCTTTTCAGGTGGGGAAGGGGGAGTAGAACTCCTTAGCATCAGAACGTGTTAATAATAATATAGGAAATACTAATGTTCTGATGATCATTTCGAAAAATCCTTCCTTAGTGAGCACCTAGAAGCCAAAAGGAACAAATGTGCCAAATTTCAAGTTTGTGGGCTTTATGATTCTGGAGATTTTGTGATGATGCATGACTGGTATTTCAATTTTATATATATATATAGATTCTGTTTTGTCAGCAATGTTTGGACTGGCCTTTCTCTCCATTTCCCATTTTTCCAGATGGTTTTATGGATAAGATATAAATACTCTCATTTCTTCAGATAAATTCTTTTGGTACTGGCAGAACATCTGATCCTCACAACAACAGATGGAACAACTGACGAAAGTATATTATTATTAACACACTCTGATGCTAAGGAGTTCTACTCCCCCTCCACACCTGAAAAGAAATCTGTTCCAAATGCAAAACACAAGCAGAGAAGAGGCGTTTCAGTTTGTTTTAGTTTCACAGCAGCAAGCAGCTTTAATACAGAACAGTTGAGCTAAGCCATGCCCAGGCTCCTTGCTGTCTTCTTCTTGCTCATATAACAAATACTGTTTCAGTTTCCAAAGAGCCCTCAACTCTCTCACACACTGACAGGATGCTAGCCAGATGAATACTGATGGATGCTGGTAGGCAGAGGCAGAATTTCCCCCCCTTTATTTTCCTCCCCAAAAACTAAGTCTGACCACAGAGTTTCATAGCAAAGCACAGGTATTGAGCTAGTTAAACTATAGTGAAATTCTCTGGGGGGGAAAAGGACAGCAGTATGTAGAGAAGAATTTTTGTTCTTTCCTGAATACATTTCTCCCTGCTGAAATACAGGTAATTCTCAACTTACAACTATTCATTGAGTGACTGTTATAAGTTACTATGGCATTAAGAGGGACTTATGATCATTTTTCACACTTTACAACTCCTGCAGCGTCCCCGTGGTCATGTGATTAAAATTCAGACACATGGCAACTGGCTCATACTTATGACAGTTGCCATGGCCCCTTTTGCAACCTTCTAACAACCGTATTGCTACATTAACTGCAGTGATTCAGATAACAAATACGGCAAGAAAGATCACAAAATGAGGCAAAACTCACTGAATGTCTGTGCAACAGAAATTTTGGACTCATTTGTGGTCATAAACCGAGGACCACCCGTACACCTTGCTCCTCTCAGCCCAGTCTTCCATTCTGTCTGATTTACATTGCAATTTTGTTTTGACATCCCTGGGTGTGGGCCAAATAATGTTTTTTCCCTCCTACTGTCTGTTTTCTGATCTTTGTACAAAGGAAGTTTACCCTTTTCTCTCTTGGTAACCAGGTTTTCTGAGGGTGAGAGAAATCATAAAGAACTTTTTGAAAATCCAAGTCAATTTGGCTAAGTCATCCTGGCTACTCTGGAAGAACACCGAGAAGCTTTAAGAAAAAAAAAAGATTACTAAGGAAGGCTCGTGGCTTTGCAGAATCTATTATTAAGTCTTCTTCGGCTAAATGCGTCCTTTTTTGTTTTTTGATCACTTTTATATTTATGAATGCTTCCACTAATTTATACCTGAAGTCATTAAGTCAGTAATTTTAGTGTTCCGTTGAGATATCATATTGGCTATTTTCCAAACTTTAGATATACAGTAGAGCAGAACTTTCCAAACTTGGCAACTTTTAAGATTTATGAACTTCAACTTCCAGAATTCCTCAGCCATTCTTCAGAAGTTGAAGTCCACAAGTCTTAAAAGTTGCCAAGTTTGGGGACTCTTGCTGCAGAGAGACCAATTTTAGGGAGCCAATGTATTTTTGTAGAACAAAAATCTCACTGCTTGGGAACGATGTGTGTCATCAATGATTACTCAAACAAACACGCGACCTCTAAACTACCCGATTATTCCAAATAAATCCTAAAACCTGATCTCCAATCCCCATATGATTGTCTGCATCTTCCTAACCTCCTTTCCCTCCTAAAGCCCTTTCAAGTTATCTGCCCCAAATTTTCAACCGGTTGCAAAGAATTTGTTAGGCCTCCCTAAAATCTTACTATCCTCTTTTATATCTTTTTGCCTGTTTTTTTTTTTTTTTTTTTAAGAAGGAGTGATTAACTTGCGGGGAAGGAAATTTTTTTCGTTCACAATTTTTGGAGTATCCCAGTTTGTATTAGTTCCCAGAACTTTCTTGGGGGAGGGGATGATAATTTCTATTTAGAAAACAGAAAAAGCTAGAAAAGTGACGGCAGAAAAAGACCTAGTGTTCCACTGAATCTGCCCTTCTGAGGGTTTTTTTAAATTTTAATTTTATTTTTTTTAACTTTTTAATCACTTAATTACAGCACCGGGGTGACCTAGTGGTGAAGACACTCGCCTCCCACTCAGAAGGTTGAGGCAACGGCAGAGCGTGCAAAGAGAAAATATCTGCTGCGAGCTCTGGATAGGTGTCAGAAAGGGCATCTGGTCAGTAAATGCTCAGCCCCATCCAGCTGCCCCAAATTAAGGGATTACACAGGATTGTAAAAAAAGGAGTTAATTAATCATTTAATTATTTCCTGCAGGAGTTGCCCTTAGGCTGCTCATTAACCAAGCTGGTATCCTCTTAATGGAACATCTGCTAATGTTGGCTATCCAGTAGACTAGCCAAGATTCCATCCTTGAGGCTTACGTGGCTTTTTACAATGGGTAGAGCTGTGCTGCTAAATCGTGGGAATCCCTTTCTGGACCACGCCAAGCAGGGCTTGACGGGAGGGTCTGGGGTACAATATTCCTCCATAGAAGTTGCCCAAGATGAGTGATAACAGCAAAGCTTTGGGCCATTTTACATTCTTAAAACTGAGAGAGGACCCCTAAGAACCGTGATGGCGAACCTATGGCACGCGTGCCACAAGTGGCACACAGAGCCATTTGCGCTGGCAGGCAAGCCACAGGCAAACTTAACTCAGTGCACATGTGCGTGCGTCACAGCTGATTTTTTTTTCCGGTTAGTTTGAGGCCTTTTTTGGCCTCCCAGAGGCTTGGAAAAAGCCTCTGCAAGGCTTTTCAGGCCAAATTATTGGCCCGTTTCTTCACTTCCTGTAATACCGGAAGTGACAAAACGGGCCTATAATTCATCCTGAAAAGCCTTGCAGAAGTTTTTTCTAAGCCTCTGGGAGGTCAGAAAAGGCTTCACACAAGCCGAAAAATCAGCTGGGAGGTGCGGGCAGGGAAGGGGGTGGGGAGGGGGGGGGGGGGGGATTGCGTGAGCATGCACAGGGGGCTTGGGGAAGGGCACACGTTGCATTCTGGGTGCTGGCATGCGAGTATGTGCGTGCTGGTACGCACACAAGTTTTGGCACAGGAGCCCCAAAAGGTTAGCCACCACTGCCTAACAGCATTGGTTTCCATGGATTGCTTCTATTGATGTTTACTGCAATAGATATGAAAATGGAGAGAATTATAACAGAATTAACAGAGTTGGAAGGGGCCTTGATGGTCTTCTAATCCATATAAATGGCTGTCCAATCTCTTCTTGAAAACCCCCAAGTGATGGAGCACCCACAACTTTTAAAGGGAAAATGTCCCATTGATTAATTGTTCTAACTGTCTTAGTCCTAGATTGGTTCTCTTCTAGATTACTTTCCATCCATTGCTGTGTGTCCTGCCTTCAGGTGCACTGGAAAATAGATTGATCCCATCATCTTTGTGGTAGCCCCTCAAATATTGGAACACTGCTATCATGCCTCCCCTAGTCCTTAACAGAGTATCAGAATAACCGAGTTGGAAGGGACATGGGAGGTCTTCTAGTTTAATCCCCTGCTTAAGCAGGAGCCCCTTAGACCAGTGGTAACTAACCTTTTTGGGCTCCTGTGCCAAAAATTGTGCGCGCGCTGGTGCTCACGTGCTCACATGCCAGCACCCAGAAGGCAATGCATGCCCCCCCCCCATGCCCCTTGCACATACACGCGCAATCCCTCCCACACCCCCACACCACACCCCTTACCTGCACTGAGCCTCACAGCTGATTTTTGAGGCCTTTTTCGGCCTCCCAGAGGCTTGGAAAATGCAGGCTTTGCAGGTCGAATAATACGCCCATTTCGTCACTTCTGGTATTACAGGAAGTGTAGCCTCTGGAAGGCCGAAAAAGGCCTCAAGCCAGCCGAAAATCAGCTGTGAGGCACACGCACGCGCAGTGTGACAAGTTTGCCTGCGGCTCATGTGCCGGCACAAATGGCTCTGCGTGCTCCATGTGGCATGCGTGCCATAGGTTTGCCATCATGGCCCTACACCATTTCAGACAAATGGTTGTGTAATCTGTTCTTAAAAACCTCCAATGTTGGAGCACCACAACCTCTGGAGGCAAGTTGTTCCACTGGCCAATTGTCTTCACTGTTAGGAAATTTCTCCTAAGTTCTGGGTTTCTTCTCTCCTTGATTAGTTTCCACCCATTGCTTCTTGTCCTGCCTTTCAGGTCCTTTGGAGAATAGGTTGACCTCCTGTTCTTTATGGCAGCCCCTCAAATATTGGAATATTGCTATCATAACACACACAACACACACACACCTGTCCTTCTTTTTAAAGCATTGATCGATCTGCCTTCGGGGAGCCTTTCAAAGGGTCTGTGGGACCCCGTGAGCATATCATCCTTGAAAGGTGTTTAGACTTTGGGGAAAGTTCAGAGAAGAGCAACTAAGATGATCAAAGGCCCGAGAACTAAAACATATGAAGAACAGCTGCAGCATTTGGGCTTGGCTAGTAGTCTAAAAAAAATAACTAGGGGTGACATGATAGCAGCAACCTGGAATTAAGGAGAAACTTCCTAACAGTGAGGACAATTAACCAGTGGAACTGCTTGCCACCAGAAGTTATGGGTGCTCCATCAGTGGATATTTTTAAGAAGAGTCTAGATAATCACTTATCTGAAATGGTATAAGGTCTCTTGCTAAAGCAGGGGGCTGGACTAGAAGACCTCCAAGGTCCCTTTTAGTTCTATTTTATTCATAATTCACGTTCAGGCCCCGCTCGGTCCTCACCATACTCGGCTGAAAACAGCTCCCCTCGGACCTCCCCGGCTCCCCACTTACCGCGGGGGCATCCACGGTGGTGTAGCGGACGATGATCTGGAAGGGTCGCTGCGGCTCCAGCGAGGCCGGCAAGGAGATGCTGAGCGCCGAGCCGTAGTCGGTGAAGGGGTCCACGCGGAAGAAGAGCGGGTAGGGGGCGCGGGCGGCGGGCGCCGAGAGGGGGAAGGCGGGCAAGGGCGGCGCAGCAGTCTCGGCGCTCTCCAGCGGGGTGCAGGCCCAAGGCCCGGCCGGAGGAGGCTCGCCCCACGGCGGGGGGACCTCGGCTGGGGGGGCGTCGCGCAGGGGCTCCGGGGAGGCGCCCAGGCCCGGCCGGTCTACTTCGGGCAGCGCCTGCCCGAAGGCCGAAAGTGCGCTGGGGGTGCTGAGCGGGCAGTGCGGGTGCGGGTGGCCCGCGGGGGCCGAGGACGGGCGGGCGGGGGGCGGCGGCGGAAGGGCTCCCCGACCCGGCTCGCCTTCCGCGCCGCTCCCGCCGGCGCTGGAGAAGACGAAGCCGCAGCGTCCCTCGCCGTCCGGGCAGGCCCGGAAAGCCACCGAGGCCACCCGCATGGCCGGGTGCGTGTCCAAGACCAGGACGCGAGGTCGGCGGGGGCGACGGTCTTCCTCGGCCGCCTCTTGCTGGGCGCCGCCGGGCGCCGGCCGGGCGCACAGCTCCAGCACCAGGCAGCCGGCAAGGGCGCGGGCCTCAGGCCGCAGGTCCAGCCCGAGGCGGAGGTGGCGGAGGCGGAAGAGCGAGGCGCTGGAGGCCGAGGCCACGTCCGGGGGCGTCTCGGGGGCCTCCATGGGGCCTAGGTGAAATCCATGGGCGGGCGCGGGAGGCCCGGTGGCGGCCGACGACTCACCCAGGCCGCCCGGGAAGCCGCTCGCCGGCGCCAGGAAGAGGCGAGGCCCAGCCGGCCTGCCCCGAGCGGGGCGCGCTACGTGCGGCTGGCGGAGGAGGAGGCGGCGGCGGCGGCAGCGGCGCTGGGCGGCGCCCGAGAGCGGCGCGAGGCGGCCGGAGCGGCCTTTGGACGCGCGCCCTGCCTGTCCCAGCCGTTGGACGGGAGCCTCGAGCTGGGCCGAGCCCGGGGCTTTATTGATCCCGTCGTCCCCTGGCCGGAACTCAGCCTTGGGACGGCAGAGAGACGGGAAAGGTCCGGCTCTCGGGAACACATTATGCTGTAGAGGCAGAAAGGATCCCCCTCCTTGGATCTGGCCAGGTGATCTCCCGGGAGGGATCGTGTGAGCAGGGTATGTAGGAAGGAGACTTTGAGCAGGGATCAACTGGTTTGCCAGGAGGAGTTGGAAGGGCCCTTTGAGGTCTTATAGTCCAACCCCTCAGGCAGGAGACCCTGTGCAGGTAGGCCTCGACAGTTCGGTTAGTGGCCTTTCAAAGTAAGTAATGACTATTTTTCACAGATCTTTGTAGCAGGTCATGTGATTTACATTGGGATGCTTGACAGCTGACTCACATTTATGACGGTTTGCAGTGTCCCGGGGACCTGTGATTGCGGTTTGCAACCTTTTGACAAGCAAAGTCAATGGGGAACTTGGATTCACTTAACAGCCGTGTCACTAAGGTAACAACTGCAATGATTCACTGAATAAATGTGAGAAAAGTCGTAAAAAGGGGTTATAACTTCTCAGCCACATAAATTTTAGGCTCAGTTGTGGTCACTAGTTGAGGATTACCTGTACCGTCTCAGCTTCTCAACCTTGAAAACTTCAAATCTCAGAATTCCCCAAACATTGAAGTCTATGAAGACCTCTCGCAACTTTCAACAGTTCATTTAGTGACCTTTGAACTTACCACGGCACTGAAAAAGGTGACTTATAACTTGTTTTTCACACTTATGACCATTGTAGCACCCCTATGGTCATGTGATCAAAATTCAGATGCCTGTCCCAGGGTCATGTGATCAGACCGTTCTTTGGAAGGACAGATCCTGAAACTGAAGCTCAAATAGTTTGACCGCCACCAAATGAGAGGAAAAGACCCTGATTTTGGGAAAGACGGAAGGCAGGAGGAGAAGAGGACGGTAGAGGATGAGATGTTTAAATGGTGCCATCAACGGAATGAACATGAATTTTGGCAAACTGAGAGAGAGTGGAGGACATGTGGGGGGGGGCGGGGCGGCTGGAGTGCTATGGTCCATGGGGTTGCGAAGAGTCAGACTGAACAATAATATAAGAAACTCCATGCATCATGTACATTTTCTAATCCATTGTAATTTAAATAAACAAATACAAACTTTGCACATGGAAAACGTGAGCACAACCTCTGTCTGTCTGTCTGTCTGTCTGTCTGTCTATCTATCTATCTATCTATCTATCTAAATAGAAGACAAATGGAAGGGACCTTGGAGATCTTCTAGTCCAGCCCCCTGCTTAAGCAGGAGATCCTATACCATTTCAGAGAAGTGGCTGTCCAGTCTCTTCTTAAAAACTTCCAGTGATGAAGCACCCACAACTTCTGGTGGAAACTTCCATTCCACTGGTTAATTGTTCTCACCGTTAGGAAATCTCTCTTTAATTCCAAGTTGGTTCTGTCCTTGATTAGTTTCCATCTGTTGCTGCTTGTTCTGCTTTTAGGTGCTTTGGAGAAAAGGTTGACCCCCCTCTTCCTTGTGGCAGCCCCTCAAATACTGGAATACTGCTATCATGTCCCCCACTAGTCTGTCTTTTCTCTAGACTGGCCAAACCCAAATCCTGCATCCGTCCTTTATATGTTTTAGTCTCCAGGCCTTTAATCGTTTTAGTTGCTCTTCTTGCACTTTTTTTCCAATATCTCAACATCTTTTTTGTAGTGTGGTGACCAAAACTGGATGCGGGTATTCCAGGTGTGGTCTTATTAAGGCTGGCAGGACTCAATTCTAGACTCAATGATGGTCCTAAGTTGAGGACTACCTATATAGCATAAACAGTTGTATGGAAAAAAGGGAAGTATGGTTTTTAGGTTACAAATGTCTTGATATCGCAAGAAAGCCAGAGAGGATCACTTCCCAGATTGCAGGATACAGAAGGATGGGTTTAATCTACATGTAAGCAAGATTTTAACTTGAAACAATGGGAAAAAATGTTAATTAGATCAAGGCTCTTCAAACTTGGCAAGTTTAAGACTTGTGGACTTCAACTCCCAGAATTCCTGAGCTAACATGACCAGAGGAGGAATTCTGGGAGTTGGAAGTCCACAAACAAGTCTTTAAAGCTGTCAAGTTTGAAGACCCCTGAACTGGTGTTTCAGATGGATTTAAACATCCATCTTAAACCATGGGTCATTTAACTAATTTATTTGATTTGCCGATCGCTTACAAGATAATAGATATAAGTATAAACATGAGTAAGAATACAGAAAATAGGTATGAATAAATGGGGACAATAGGACAGGGAGGGTAGGCACGATGATGCACTTATGCCACCCCTTAGTAAACTAAGTTTACTAAGTTAACTAAGGACTTAGTAAATATGGGTTGTTTTTTCCTTTTTGATAATGTATTCATTTTTATTTTTGCACTTTATTCTTTTTTTGTTTTTAAAATCACTCTTTAAAAAAACACAAACAATAAATCTAAAAGCCCTATGGATTATTGAATGTACCGTGAAGGCAGGTTCAATTTTCATGCAAAGCAATAAGCATGAAACTTCTTTCGGAAACTGCAACACAGCATGCTAAGTAAAACAATATAACCTATTAAGATTAACTGGATTCAGTCATGGATTCCTAAATTATGGCTGATTAAAGAGCAACAGTACACAGCTCATCCCAGCTGCTTCGTGGGAGAAAACTCAACACTGCTCCACAATGAAAGGGCACACACGTCTTTACAAAAACCAAAATAATTTTTATTCACTTTTGCAGATGTCCGTCTCGACAAGACAATTTGCAAACATGCTAAGGCTATAAAATGTCCAGCTGGACAAAAACAAACCAACAAACATGCAGTGCTGACCGATCGAAACAGCTATTACAAGACTGACCATGCCCGTGTGGGCTACTGGTCCCATATAACACAGATGGTGTACAGTAACCATGGTAACATACAACACAGGACCAGCAACCTGAGGTAGGCCTCTTTACAATTAGAAAATGAAATTTCCTACACCAGTGTCAAAACCTGATCAGGTGCCTGCTAAAAGCTGCAAGATGCTGAGGATGTAACAAATATGCAAGAGCAAAATTTTGTGCACATACAGTTGGGTGAATGAAGAACGATTTTAAAAATATCAAAAGTGTCTGGAGAACTTTCCAAAATAAATGCCAATATCTCAAAAGTCTGCATCTCAGCAGAGAAACGCTGTAGGAAGTAGCAGGGTCCAGTCTAAAAAAAGATTTAGCTGCTACAGCTTGGGAATAACGCTGTATGCCAGGGAAAAAGATCTGCAAAAACTTTGGGGAGTTTAACACCCAGGATTCCCCAGCCAATATGGCTGACTGAGGAATTCTGGGAGTTGGAAGTCCACAAGTCTGAAAAGTTGCCCACTTTGGAGTTCCCTGCTGTATGCTTTGGAGAGGTGCTTTTTGCTTAGCAAAATGGAAGTGGCTTTGACTGCATTGGATGAAATAGCAGCCAGCCAACTGACAGTGTCATTGTGTGCACCCAGGTGAATGCACTGGGTTCAAAGGTACCTGAGTTTTGTGATGGCCCTTCACTTCCCGCTACAGTTAAGTATTTGCTAATGAAATTGCCCCAAGGGAGGGGAATGTTAAACCCCTCCAGGGTACAGTACCATGAGAAATTGTGGCTCCTGTCTAATAATTGTCAAGGATCTTGACTGCTGTCTTGCCGGGACCCACATGCCGTAGGTAGGAATGAGGAAAATGGGAGAGGGAGGGAGAGTTACACAAAACTTTCATTTCCGCCCAGAAGTTGGGGGGGGGAGAAAACAGCACCAGGGAGAGTCCAGTGCTGCCTGGCCCAAGCCAGGTTCCCAACCCCACTAAAACGGTACAAAAAAAAAAGGATAGAAAAGAATATGCACTGGTATTAACCACAGCGCTCATTTTAATATAAAATAAACAGCTTACATTTCCACTGTAAATATAGGCTATGTACAGAATTCTGTATAGATATAGCTACATGTATAAAGCTTCAATATAGGCCTCTGGATACATTTATAACGTGGCTCCCTGAGCCATCTTGTAGAGTGCATTTAATAGCAAAAAAAATTAGTAAGAAGAATACGAAATAAATACCATAATAAAAACTATGAAGAATCTTCCTTATAGTGCTTTTTTTTTCAAAAAAAAAAAAAAGAACTCAGTCCTGACTCACGATCCTTAAAAAAAAATATTAAAAAGTGAAAAGACAACCTGCTTGAAGGACATGAAAATGGAAGGAGGAACATCCCTGCCACAGGCAGAGAAGGATTACGCTCCATATTAAAGTGACTTTGCCCTGAATTTTAGCCCTTTACAGCAACCTTGTTTTCTGCAGCAGCAAACATGGCATAGAAGCGGGAATTGTCATTGGACAGAAGAGCAGCTGGAGTGTCAAATTCCACCACCTGAAACAAATGGAAGAGGAAGTGCATGAAATGGAGTAAACACAGGTAGCCCTCGGCTTTACGGCCACAATTGAGCCCCAAAATTATGTCGATAAGTGAGATATTTGTCAAGTGAGTTTTGCCCCGTTTTACGACCTATCTCGCCACAATTGTGAATCTGGCTACTGACTTTGCTTATCAGAAGGTCACAAAAGTGAATCACATGACCCTGGAACACTGCAACTGTTGTAAATATGAGTCGGCTGCCAATCTTCTCTTGTATGTCACATTCTGATCATGTGCCCATGGGGTTAATGGTTGTAAGTGTGAAAATTGGTCATAAGTCAATTTTTCAGTGCTGTTGTAACAGTCACTAAATGAACTGTTTTAAGTTGAGGACTACGTGTAGCATCACCGTTGAAAAAGAGACCCAAAGATCTACAATTCCTTTATTTTAGATTAAGG